TCTGCATCTTCTAATATGTTCCATTGGTCCTCAGGTCTATTTCATTGCCAGTACCATGCTGATTTTATCACAGTAGATTTGTAGTATAGTTTTAAGTCAGGAATGTAATGCCTCCTGCCTTGTCTTTGTTGCCCACGAATGCCTTTGGGTCCTATAGTATTCCAGGTCTTTTCTGGTTCCAAATAAATTTTAGGAATGATTTCTCTAGGTCTGGGAGGTATGTTGGTGGTAGTTTGATAAGGATTGCATTAAATGCATACAACAATTTTGGGAGTTTGGTCATCTTCACAATGTTGGTTCTTCCTATGCCAGAGCAGGGAATATTTTTCCATTTTCTGAAATGCTCTACGATTTCTTTTTTCAGAGTACTGTAATTTTCCTTGAAAAGATCTTTGACTTGTTTAGTTAGATGATTTCCAATGTATTTCATTTTCTGTGGTGCTATTATAAATGTTATTATTTCTGTAATTTCCCTCTCAGTGTGTTTTTTAGCTGTGTAGAGGAATGCTATTGACTTCTGGGTACTGACTTTGTATCCTGCTATGCTACTGAATTTGTGTATCAATTGCAGTAGCTTCTTGGTAGAGTTTTTTTGATCTTCCAAGTAAAGTATCATGTCATCTGCAAATAATGATAATTTAACTTCTTCTTTACCTATTCTTATTCCTTTTATTCCTCTCTCTTATCTAATGGCTCTAGCTAATGATCCCAGAAATATAATGAATAGGAGGAGTGATAGAGGACATCCTTAACTTGTAACAGATTCAGGAGTAAAAGATTTCAGTTTTTCCCCATTTAGAATTATATTAGCCATTGGGTTGTCATAGATGGCTTTTTATTAGATTGAAGTAGAGGCCATCTATTCCAATTTTCTGTAGGACTTTGAACATAAATGAATGTTGGACTTTACCAAAAGCCTTTTAAGCATCAACGGAGATGATCTTGTGGATTTTAGATTTGACAGTACTGATATAATGTATTAAATTCATAGATTTGCATATGTTGAACCATCCTAGCATCCTTGGGATGAATCCTACCTGGTCATGGTGTACAAACTTCTTGATGATTTGCTGTATTCTATTTGCTAGGATTTTATTGGGGATATTAGCATCTATGTTCATGAGGGAGACAGGCCTGTAGTTCTCTTTTTTACTTGTGTCTTTCCCTAGTTTTGGTATCAGTATAATACTTGCCTCCAGGAATGATTGTGGGAGGATTGCTTCCTTTTCAATTTCATTGAAGAGTTTGAGAAGTATAGGGATTATATCTTCTGTAAATTTCTTGTAGAATTAAGTTGTGAATCCATGAAGACCTGGACTTTTCTTTGTTGGAAGGCTTTTTATTACATTTTGTTTTTCATTGCCTGTTATTGGTTTATTGAGCATTGTTATATCTTTTTGATTCAGTTTTGGTAATTTGTACCTTTCTAAGAATCTGTCTTTTTCTTCTGTGTCTTCTGTTGTTGGAGAGGAAAGGTTCTCAATGTAATTACTGACAATCTGCTCAATTTCCATTGGGTCTGTGGTAGATACACACTTTTTATTCCTTATTGCTTTTATTTGAATGTTTTCTTTCCTCTTTTTGATGAGGTTAGTTAGGGACTTACCAATTAAATTTAACCTTTAAAGAACCAGCTTTTTGATTCATTAATTCTTTGAACTGTTTTCTTCATTTCAATTGAATTAATTTCTTCTATAATCTTTATGATTTCTTCCCATCTTTGGTCTCTGGGTTTGGTTTGCTCTTCCTTTTCTAGATGTTGGAGGTGCATCATTAGGATGTTTATTTGTTCCCATTCTGTTTTCCTAATGTGTGAGTTCACAGCTATGAATTTCCCTCTGAGAACTGCTTTCATCGCATCCTATAAGTTCCAATATTTGGTGCTTGAAATTTCATTGAAGTGTAGATAGTGTTGAATTTCTTGTTTAATTTCATTTATGACCCATTGGTTGCTGAGTAGGGTGTTTTTAAATTTCCATGTATTTATGGGGTTTTCCTGGTTTCTTGTCTTGTTTATTTCCAGTTTCATTGCACTGTGATCAGATAATATGCATGGGATAATTTCTATTTTCTTGCATATACTTAAGAAATGTGGACCAGTATGTGACCTATTTTAGAAAATGACCCATGTGCAGCTGAAAAAAAGGTATATTCAGCTGTTGTTGGGTGGAACACTCTGTATCTGTGCACTAAGTCTATGTGTTCCAAGTTCTGGATCAGTTCTGCTACTTCTTTGATAATTTCTTAGTGTGCCTGACCTATTCTTTTGAAATAAGGGAGTGTTACTGTCTCCTGTTAAGATTGTGGTATTGGGTGAGTGTTACATTTTCCTCTTGAATTTTTCCCCTAACCAGTATGTAGTGGCCTTCTTTATTTTGTTTGATCATTCTTTGTTTGAAGTTGAGACTGTGTGAGAATAGAATTGCTACCCCTGCTTTTCTCTGAGTTACTGTGGTGTGTAGTATTTTTTTCTGTCCTTTAACTTTCAGCCTATGAATGTCTTTTTGAGTTAAGTGTGTTTCTTGTATATGCATATTGTTGGATTTTGTTTCCCAATCCACTGTGCCAGTCTATTTGTTTTAATTGGTGAATTGAGTCCATTTATATTGATGGTTATAATTGAGACACATTGATTTATTATCAACATGTTATTTATCTGCTGTTGTTTACTCCTTTTTCTCCTGTTTTTAATTGTTTGTCCTATTTAGTGGGTTCCTTCTGTTCTCATTGGTGGAGTTCTGCTCATTTTGGTCCCTCTCTAGAACATCTTTTAGTAGTCTGTGTAGGGTTGGATTTGTCAGCATGGAATTCTTTAGTTGTCCTTTGTCATGAAAGTGTTTCACTTCTCCATCGTAGTTGAAACACAGTTTTGCAGGGTATAGTAGTCTGTGCTTGAATCTGTTTTCATAAAGGACCTGAAGTACTCTGCTCCATTCTCTTCTTGCTTCATGATTTGTGAAGAAAAATCGGCCATAATTCTTATGAGTTTTCCTTTAAATGTGATCTGTTTCTTTTCTCTAGCAGCTTTCAGTACATTTTTCTTGTGCTGGATTTCTGGGATCTTTACTATTATATGTCTCAGTGCATTTTTAATTGGGTTGAGGTTATTTGGAGTTCTATATGCTTTGGTTACTCTATATCAGATTTTTTCCTCATATTTGGGATGTTTTCTGCTATTACTTCTGCCCATATTCATTTTATATCATTTGTATTGATTCCTTCTTTCTCATTGAGGCCTATTTTTCCTCACATTGTTCATCTTTGTATCATCTTGCAGGTGATGAATTATTTTTTCCTGCATCCTAGTTGTTTTTAAGAGATTTTTTCTTACCTTTTCACTAGCTGCAATGGTGTCTTCAAGATCTGAAACTCTATCTTCACTTTCACTCAAATGGTTTTGCAAGTTTGCAGTTGAAATTTTAAGTTCTTCTATATCTTTTTTACTCTGCTTCATGTGATTTATTTGTTTCCTGTATTGCTCATTCAAGGAATCTGCCACTTTTGTATTCTCTTCTGTTTTTTTTTTTATCAGTGTCTTCTTGAGGAGCAGTTATTAATTCTTTTACTTCAGAGATTACTTCTGATCTGATCTCCTCTATATGTTTCTGCTTTTGATTCTTTACTTCAGAAGCTATTACTTCCGAGATTTCCTTTTTTTTATTTCAGACATTAATTCTGTCTGAGTTGCTCTATACCTTTCTGCTGTTGTTTCTTTACTTCAAATGCTATTAATTCAGACATTTCAGCAGTGCTAGTGTCCTCTGCACTTGTTCTGGTTGGGCATGGGACCTGAGACTGCATTTTGCTCCTTCTCTTTGTCATTTTGTAAGCATTGTCCTCTGACCTTTGGTGTAGAGCTCTGGGGCAGTTACAATCTTAGCACCTATTAAAATTCAGGTGCAGATCTACTAAGTTTGAGTTCATCCAATTGTCCCTGGCTTGGCTCTGGCTACTGGGCTCTGCTCCTTTGTGCTGCATCTGTTCAAGGTGAACCTGTACCCATCTGGCAAGATGCTCTGTTTGTGGATTATCTGCATGGTTTTGGCCCCTAGTCTCTCTGCAGGGACTTCAGCTGCAGAGTTTCACCCCAGGCCTATATGCCAGGCCTGGGCTTGGTCTGGAGGTGTCTGGGGATGCATGAGAGCTAAGAAGCTCTCCCACAACAGTCACCAGACCTGGGATAAGGCACATCTGGAGGGGTCCTGAGAGCGGGTGGAAGTTCTCATTCACAAGGCAGGCTTAGGCTGGCTCTGGAGGGTGTGGAGTGGTCTGGAGAGCATGGTGAAAGGTCTCACTAACACGGTGGGCCTCGGCTTGGTCTGGAGGGGTCCAGCAAGCACAGGGGAGCTCAGAGGCTCTCCCACACACTTGCAGGGTCTGAGCTTGTTCGAGTCTGGAGGGGTCCCGAGAGCAAGGCGGCAGAAGTTGTCACTCACAATGCCTTCTTGGGCTGGCTCTGGAGGGGTGAAGGGGTCTGGAGATCTTGGTGAAAGGCAAAAGGTCTCCTTCAACTGGCAGGCTTGAGCTTGGTCCAGAGGAGTTCAGTAGGCTCAAAGCAGTGCAGAAGCTCTCCCACACACTCACAAAGCCTGGGCTTAGGCGGGTGTGTAGGGGTCCTGAGAGTGCAGTTGAAGTTCTCACTCACAAAGCAGGCTTTGGCTGGCTCTGGAGGGATTGAGGGGTCCCAAGAGTGTGGTGAAAGGTCTCACTCTCGCGCTGGGCCTGGGCTTGGTCCAGAGAGGTTCAGCAGGTGCAGGGGAGTGCAGAAGCTCTCCCACTCACTTGTAGGGCCTGGGCTTCGGTGGATGTGGAGGGGTGCTGAGAGTGCGGCGGAAGTCTACATTGTGTATTATTATCTTCAAAATAGTTATTCAGAGAGCAAGACATAAACATGAAAAATTGTCCAAACTATTTTAGCAAAAATCTTTCTTTTCAATAACCTAAGGGAAACTAGTAGTATAATATTAAATATAAAGCTATCACATAATTATTCTACTTACTACTATGTCTCTTTTCTTTTGAAGGTTTTCGTTTCTCTCCTTGCATTCCAAGTTTTGAGGCTGCATCTTGATGTTCAGGCATAGACGTTTCGTCTGGTTCATCACCCTGAACTACATCAACAGAGAGTGATCTTGGTTGTGAAATAGTCTTATGGCAAAATTACAACCAAAACATTTGACTACTTTTGATTTTGTCTTCAGCTATTTTAGGGTAGTCACACTTTTTGGGATCAAACTCTAGATTTCTATAAATGATAGGCATTATGAACCAAAGAAAAAAGAACTGCTTTAAAAAAATTAAAAGTTATTTTCTAATTATTACACTTACTACTATGTCTCTTTTCTTTTGAAGTTTTTTGTTTCTTTCCTTGCATTCCAAGTTCTGAGGCTGCATCTTGATGTTCAGGCATAGATGTTTCATCTCTTCCTTCACCCTGAACTGCATAAATAGTGAAAGGTCTTGGTTGTTTTTATGATTCATGTCTAGCTGTCTCCCCCAAGCCTCATGCACTGATGGGTGGTGGCTTCATGAATTTGTGATTAATTCATGATCCAATGCTGGGATTAGGGATGGATGTGGGTGCTATACCTGCCCTGGGCAATGTCCTGAGTGGTGAAACATAAGGGAGGGAGAGAGGCTTGCTAGCTGCTGTCTCTACTCCTGCCATTTTGGCTCTTGCTGTTTTACTGTTTTTCATTGCCATGAACTGCTGCTCTCTGTCATGTGCCACTCTGCCTTGGAGCCAGGTAGTTATCCCTGAAACCTCCACTAATTGAGAGCTAAATAAATGTGTCCTTTCTTAATTTTGGGTGTCAGATATTTTGTCACAGCAATGAGAGAAAATTAACTGAGACAGTTGCTAAGCAGTCTTATGCCAAAATTCTAAACAAAACATATTACTAGCTTTGATTTTGTCTTCAGTTATTTAAGGGTATTCACACTATAGGGTCACACTAAATTTCTATAAATTATATTCATCATGAACCAAAGAAAAAGAACTGCTTAAAAAAATTAAAGTTATCTTCTAAGTATTATACTTACTACTATGTCTTTTTTCTTTTAAAGTTCTTCGTTTCTTCCCTTGCATTCTAAGTTGTGAATCTGCATCTTGAGGTTCAGGCATAGAAGCTTTGTCTGCTTCTTCATCCCGAGCTACATAAAGAAAGCATGACCAAGGTCGTGAAATAATCTTATGACAAAATTGTAATCAAAGCCTATGACCATCTTTGTTTTTGGTCTTGAGTTTCTTTAAGGTATTCATACTCTGGGGTCAAGGTATAAAATTTACATAAATTATATGCATTCATGAGCCAAAAGTGACATGATTTTAGAACATTAAAGTTACTTATAATTTTTTTTTTTTTTTTTTGCGGAACCAGGGATTAAACTCAGGCACTTGCGCTTGCCAGGGAAGCACTCATTGTACTGAGCAATCCCCCTGGCCCTGTTACATATAATTATTATACTTACAACTATGTCTTTCCTCTTTGGAAGATTTTTTTTTCTTTCCTTGCTTTCCAAGTTGTGAATCTGCATCTTGGGGTTCAGGCATAGAAGCTTTGTCTGGTTCTTCATCCCGAGCTACATAAAGAAAGCATGA